GATTTTTTTTTTTTCAATTCACTTTGAAAACTCAATTTTTTTGACATTTTAATTTTATTGAAGACATTAAGAAGCGCTTAACGATATGTTACTTGGTGAATCAAAAACCGGAATGCAGATAATTAGTCAGTCAATTTCAACTTCTTTTTTCCCTTTGTATTATTTTATAACTCGGCGAGGAGGCAAATTACTAGTTTATGCAATAACGTGAGAAAGGAAGTTACATCAGAGAATATTTCCCTATAAAGTTCATCAGACGCTTTTTAGGTTTTTCGTGCAGACTTATTAATGAATGCTAAAAGGCTTGAACCATATGACTACATTAGCGATCGTAAAAACAGCAGTGTATTTTCATGATTTATTTATTGTTTACTGATTAGCTAAAGACTACTGAAATAGACATTAAAAAACATGTGAATATACATAAAAAATTGAAGAAGACAATTTATCTCCGTTTTATTTCCACTTGCCTTTATTTTTACGTCGGGACTGCTTTCTTTCAGACAAAAATAACCTGTCAAACTTTTGCTGCTGAAAGTTTGGCAGTGGCACTGAATGTAAAAAATTTGAAGTAGAAAAATTCGCGCCATTAGTTTTCGTTTCAATATTTCTGATGTTAACAGCCATATATAAATAACATACGTCATCAATGGTGACACGGCGATATTTTTGTCGACAGTGGCCAAACAATCCTTTGGCAAGCAAACAACATTTTAATGTTGGTCACAGTGGTGCCTTTTTTCACCAACTTTTTCTAGTAGGTTTGTTCTATAATCTTGTAATTGTTGGCTTAATTGTCCTCCAACTTTGAAAGTTTATATTACGGGCTATATTCCCCTTTGTGAACTATTCGTTCCTTGTTGTCGGTGCTGTTTCTTCGGTGCTATAGTCTCTTTCAATTGTGGCTTGTTTACTGAGCAAAGCTTACAAAATGTTTTAAATGGTTAATTCTTTTTTTCTTTTTGTTCATCTTTGACGTTTGTGAAAGATGTTTATGAGACGAAGTTTAGATAGTATTGATTCGTAGTTACGCTGAACTTTATTGATGTGGAAACTTCTGATCATTCCTTGTTTGTTTCATGATGGAAGCTAGGTGGAGGATCAGAAATAGT